ACTTAGCAAACTTCTCAGGTGTTAAATATATCTCTAATATAAACAATCAAAACCGATTAAAAATTTATACATTTCTTTGAGATAAACATGCCAATAATCTCCCACACTGATAAACAGTTTCTTAGGTTCACTGCATTTTTAAAAAAAATATATAATAAAGTATGCATAATCCGTCAATCCAGTTCCATCACAACTGACAAAACAAGTGATTAAGTTTATTATAAAATAAACAATTCAAACAAGTCTTAAAAAAGTTAATACCCAACAAAATGGCACTCAACTGCACAAATTTTCCATCACAGCTTAACTACATAATGCACTTACCTTTCAGCTTTGCTTCTATATAAACAAATTGATATATGTTTATCTTTATGTAAACATATTTAAAAGCAAAATTTGATCCCCCACAAACTGTACAAAAAATTGCATAAATTTTCCAATTATCAGCCTATAAATACTAATAATCTATATTTTGAATAAATTTCTGCTATTTGTCATTTAAAAACTATAAATTATTTAATTGAAGTATCAGCCAGAGCATAACTTTTTATTACGGAGTCGAGCTGAAAAAAAATATTTGCAACAAATAAAATGTATATTTGCAAATCGTTGAATATACGAGTACGTATTTATACATTTTTTAATACTTCTTTCGACTATAAATTGCATTACACTATCACAAATTTTTATTGTCAAACGATAATTTAGCGACCTGAATGTTTTTTCAACCAAAAAACAGTAAATTAACAATCATAAATCTTTTGTACACAATAGATGCAACTCTGTGCACATACACACAACACCATACACTATCGTAGTATGTTTGATGCACATACACATATGCAAGGCACACTAGTGAAATAATAGTGCACAATTGTCGTTTTCATGCCTCTTTCCTACTATATTTTTTACTGCACTCGAAATAACGCAAAAGGAACTACAACAATTTCAACAGGCAAAAAAGTCCTTTTTGTATTTATTTACCATAAATAAAATATTGATAAAAGCACAAATACTGGCACAAAGCGCACTACTGCTACTGCACTTATGCATTGCCCCACATGCATACAGTAGGTGTGTGTGTGTTCAATGCATGCTGGCATGTTTGCATTTTATGCATTCATGCTAAGTGCATACGAACACAAGCACAAACGCAAACACTTTTGCTCTAGAATACCATTTTACTATTGCCAGTGCTGCCAAACAATGCAACAAATTTGTTGCACAAAAAAATTGTATTGCAAAATAAAACAAAATAAAACGAAATAAAAATAAACAAAAAAAATATTATTTTACATTTGAAAAATTTACTATATTGAGATATTGATAAACTCTCGAGTGTAATAAAAATTGATAGATGATGCAGGAAATAAGTGGTGTGGACCAAAATAGGGAGAATTTATTTCATTATTTCTATTTATTTAAATTTATTTTATTCTGTCTCTATTTTGCTCTATTTTATTCCTTAAGTGCATTTAGTATATTTAATTTGTGTGAATGAAATCGTTGTGTAAGCAGTTTAATGAAATAAATTTTGCGCAAAATTGATATAAAATTTCAGTTTGATGAATTAATATCAAGTGCTGAATGAATATTAAAAAAATATTTAATTAAAAATTTCATATGCAACTTTATAGACATTTTCAGTATTGCACTGTAGTGATTTAATATTAAAACTTTGGCAATATGATAAAATAAATTGAAAAATTTATTTAGCGAATATTTTTAAATTTTAAATATGAAACTCAATTATATTATTTTGAAGAAATTATTTAAAATGAAAAGAAACACAACATATATTAAATTAGTTATATATATTATTTCAAATGAAGAGAAACACAACATATATTAAATTAGTTACATATATAGCATAAATATGGGAAAATTTTTAATAAATTCTTGTATAATTAAAAAATAAACTATTAATTTTTTAAGTACCCAATTAAAAAATATACTACTTTATTACTTCACCAAATCCTTTAGAGACCGCTTAGTAGGTTTAATGTAGATTTTTGCTTAAGTAAATGAAAAATATTTTTATAAACACAAAAATTATAAATTTTTCTGCCCAGACAGCTGAAAATCCTTCATCAGTGTTCATTAGAGTCAATGTATGTATCATTTAAGCGTGATCGAGTAGTATGATACTATATACGATAAAGAAACTCAAGATGTATCCCTTATTTTTTTTCCAAAACTTATTTTGCTTCCTACAGCCTATGCAAACAGCTCAAGTAATTGTGGTATCAACTATAATTGTGCTCATTCGTTTTTTTTTTTTTTTTGTAAAATCCTGTTCAGACAGCAAATTTTAATTTTATCTTAAGTTTATCTTAATTTGTTTGCTCGTATTTATTTTTATAGTTCTGCTCTTAACTCAAAATGTCAAACTTTTCAGCAATATTTTGCTTTCTTTTACTTCAGCTGACAGGATTCATTCACAATATCGCTACACAATTATGCTATTGTGAACTACGAAGTTTAATTTTAATTTATATGTGTGTAAATTACAATTGAATCAGGATTTAGGTGATCTAATTTTTTTATGGAATAAGATTTTCTAAAGAAATGATCACATGTGGCAGTAAGAGAAATAGTTTCAGAAATTTCTATTACTGATCTGTTATTTAGATATAAAAATGTAGTTATGCTTTTTAAGTGATTTAAATTCATTTTAAATAAAAATGATCTTCCAAATAACATATTTATTCCTATTCATAAAGAATAAACTATAGACACGTATAGACAATCATTAATATTTTAAAAACAGAAAAACTTTTATGATTCATAAATAAAATGTCAATTGGCAGGGGAAACTCAACTGAACGCCTGTCAGAAATGTTTAATTCTTTCGCTTCCTACGCCAATGCGAGCATTGCCAACTTATGATATGTCATTACATGCAGTCA